CTCTAATATATTTCCTGCAGTAGGCCCCCCTCGGGAATATTTCCTACCGTTGACCCTGCAAAACTTTTCTGTAGCACCCTCGTGCGGAACTTTTTCTGTAGCAGGTCCACTGGAATTCTTTGTGCAGCAGACCCTCTTTTGAAGCCTTTCTCTACATTAAGTCCTCTCGAACTTTTTCCTGCATCAAACTCTTCTCTGGAACTTTTTCCCATATTGGGCTCTCCAAAACGTTTCAGCCGCAGACCCTCCTCCTGAGCTTTCCTTATAGCAGGTCCTCCTTTGGAGCTTTTTCCTGTATCAGACCCTCCTTCAGAGCTTTCACTGCTGCAGAATCTCCACCTGAATTCTTCCAGCAGCAAGTCTCCCTCCTGAGTTTTTTTTTGCCTATTAGTTGTCGACTTCCCTGTAAACTCCCCCACAACATTACTTGTAGGACTCTTTTGTCTACTTACAAACACTGCAGGAACTATAGTTAAAGACTCTGTTGTTTACTTCCCTGCAAACTCCTCTGCAACACTATTTGTAGGAGCTTTCTGTCTACCTACAGATACTACAGGAACTACAACCGCCGTTGTCTATATCCCTACAAACTCCTCTATAGTATTACCTGTAGGAGTCTTCTACTTATCTACAGACACTGCAGGAACTGCAATTAAAGACAACCGTTGTACAAGACGACGACTTCAAGTTTTACTTCACGGGATCTCCCTTGCCCATTGTTTGATGTTTTCAAATGCAATTTTAACATGGTTTTCAACCATGTTTAAGCTTGAGGGGTAGTGTTAGAAGTTATATTAGGAAATAATTTATTCATGTGAGTAGTTATGAGTAATAAATTATTTTCTTTGATTAGAAGTTATTTTCTTTCTTATTTTATATTTTTTTGCTTAGATTAGTAGTTATTTCCTTTTCTATAGGTTTTTCTATTTTATGTTATTTTTTTATCTCTAACTAATTAATATAAATTGATTATTGCAGATATTAGGTGTTATATCTTTCTTTTTAATGTTATTCTTTTTATTGACTTTCTTATTCTAGGATTCATGTAAGGGTATTTATACCATATCTTCATATCAATAAAATGATTCAACTTTATTCTGCATTATTCTGAATTTCAACAAGAGCTATTTTGAGAGGGAGCTAATTATATCTTCATGTCAATAAAATGATTCAACTTTATTAGAATTTGACGAGTTTATAATTGAATCGAACATCTTGAAAGTATGAATCCAACGAGTCCAAGTCTGCTCAATTCCGACATCGTTAAAACACTCAAATGTTCATCAAACGCCATCTAATAGAAGGAAGCTCTTTGGACTGTTCGATCGAAGTAGTTCATATTTCGACGTTACTTGCACCTTGAACACTATAAATAAAGCCTCACCCCTCTCATGTGGGGGAGCTTGAGATTTAAGGAAGAGTCTGAAACTTCGAGAAGGAGCTGAAGTCTTTCGCCGATCGTCGTCGACCACAGTCAACCATTGTTGAACACCACCGACCTCTGTTGATCACAGTCGACCGTCGTTGATCACTGTCAATCTCTATTGATCACCGTCAATCTCCGTCGATCACCACCGATCACCGTCGATCACCACTAACAAAACGTCGCCAATTGCTATCGATCGTCGTCCGTTCCTAACAACAAATTCATCAGCACGTTGACATTGTAACTTGGGAAACTTAATAACTCTTTCACACATGTAGATAAGTGATTGCAACTGTAATAATCTTTTTATAATAGAAGTCTTCAGTTGGGTCAGACTCCGTGATTTTTCCTTTCGGAGTTTTCTACGTAAAAAATTTTTGGTATCATTATCAGTTGTTTTCTCACTTATGAGTGTGTATTGGATCATCGTACCACGCTAATACTATAATCTACTACTGTACTGTTACAAATTTTCTAGCATGCATCATGAGACATTCAATTTGATAATAATTTTGCTGAAGCTAAAATTCATTTAGATTCTCCGTCATTTTCAACGAAATAGAGATGTGCAAATATAGGGTCAGAACTCAGGATATTCCGTTAGCTACTTTTGAAGATTCCAGATATGTGGAGATAGATGATACTGGTGATCATGAAGATGAAGAAAGTAATGCTCAATCAGAAGGAACCCTGAAAGTTCCCCAGTCACCTGCTACATAAGTCAAAAGATGCAATAGAGTGAAATAACCCATACAAAGGTATTCTACTTCCTTACACTATTTATTGCTAACTTATATTGGTGAATCAAAGTGCTTTGAGGAGTCCACTCAAGTTGAAGATTTAAGGTAGTGGGAGCTTGCCATGGATGAAGAAATACAATATTTGAAGTCAAATCAGATTTTGGATTTGACGGTACTATCAAATGACACAATAAGTGGGTCTACAGGCTGAAATAAGAGTCAAATGGTAGCAAGCGCTACATGGCAATACTTGTTGTGAAGGGTTTTCAGCAGAGGGAAGGAATGTATTACTCAGAGATCTTCTCCCTAGTGGTGAAGATGACTACAATCAAGGTTGTGCTGAGTCTTGTAGTAGTGGAAGATCTATATTTGGAGCATGGATTTAAAAAAAACTTTCTTCCATGGAGATCTATGGTGCAACCACAAGGTTAGATGATTTTAGGCAAGGAATGTTTGGTCTATAGATTGAAGAAGAGTCTCTATGACTTGAAGTAGGCCCAGAGACAGTAGTACAGAAGGTTTGACAGGTTCATATCAGACAATGGGTACATGAAGTGTCAGACAAACCACTTTTGCTTCATCAAACACACTATGTTAACTGTTATATTTTACTTCTTTTGTATGTGGATGATATGCTGATTGCAAGAGTAGATATGGAGAAAACCAGAGACTTGAAGAAACAGTTATCAAGTGAGTTTGAGATGAAGGATTTAGGTCCAACCAAAAAGATTCTTAGGATGAGAATCAGTACGAACAAAAGTGCATGAACACTAAAGTTGTCTCCAACATAATATGTTGAGAAGATCCTACAGAAGTTCAACATGAGTGAAGAAAATCAGTTAGCACTCCCTTAGTAGTCACTTGAAACTATTTAAGGAGTTATCACCTAACTCTAAAGCAGAGCAAACACAAATAGAGAGAACTCCGTATGCTTTAGCAGTTGGAAGTTTGATGTATGCGATAATTGTACAAGATCAGATATTGCATATGCAATGGGAGTGGTCGACAAATACATGGGCAATGAAAGTAGGCATCATTGGGAGGCGGTAAAGTGGTTTCTCAGGTATTTGAGAGGAACAACCAACATGACACTTTGCTATGGAAGTGCATAGATCAATCTATAGGGTTTTAGAGATTCAGATGTGCCAAAAGATGTGGACAGTAGGAGAAGTACAACAGGATATATCTTCACCTTGGGGAACACAACGGTGAGTTGCGTTTTTAGGTTGCAGAAAATTGTTGCACTTTAAACTACAAATACCGAATATGTTGCTATCACCGAGGCTAGCAAGGAAATGATTTGGCTACAGAATTTCATTGCAAAATTGGGCAAAGAGCAGTGAATTGGAAAATTCTACAGTGATAGTATAAGTGCGATTCATCTTTGCTAGGAATGTTGTTTTTCATGTCAGGATGAAACACATCCATGTAAGGTATCATTTCATTCGCTTTCTTCTTGAAGATGAATAATTTTTTCTGGAGAAGATACATACAGCTCAGAATCTCGCGAATATGTTGACAAAGATTGTAATTATCGAGAAACTGAAGCTATGCTTGGCTTCAGTTGGGTTTCATGAAGGTTGAGAATAAGGGTGAGCCACACCACGGTACGTAATTACAGTACATGACTATAAAGACGATTTAGATGGAGGTGCAAGTACAAATGACTGGTGCTCGGTGCTTTTGTCTCTAAGCGGGAGATTGTTACGATATGTGAAGACAAAGTAGGGAGCTGATTCATAGGCATGACTGTGGGCGCTCAAGCGCCCACTAGATGCGGCTCACGGTGGTGCCGACGCTTAGGCGCCGGCTTTGTGTGCAAATGTGCCCACATTCAAAGAAACCGATGCCTATGCGCTAGTTTATTAGCGCCGATCAGGGCCGTTTTTTTTTCAGGATTTTTTTTTAATCCCTGTTTTGAGCAGTTTTAATGTTGCTTTGAGTTTCTTTCTGCTGAATTCTTTGACGGGCATCCCAGTGAAGGTGAGGAGTGTTGAGGAGGTGGATTTCAGTGATTAGGCGTTATTTTGTGTTAGATCATAGTGGGAAGATTGTGGAACGAGTACTTACAAATTCTCGTGTGCTTTTTTAGTTATTTTGATTGTGCTTCTGTTTCAATTTTTGTTCCACTTTTTATATTTAATTGGTGAGATCTCATTATTGCGCTGTGTGGTTTAGTATCTAATTGACATTATGAAGATTTCCCATCACAATACTCTATTATGGAGATGGAGGTTTATTCAGGTCCACTTTCGGATATTAATATCAAATTCTTTTCCCAACGGCAATCTAATGCATACTGTACCTCCTATTTGATACTATATGTTTTCATCGCAATGAAAACACATTTGTTTACAGACTCATTTGATTAATCACTAATTATAAAAGAAACCATTAATCAACTCATAAAAGTCTACTTTGTTTATTTAGTTGGGTTAAACTTCAAAAATTATATGTATGTAGCTGATTTAATTTCAAAGTATTGCATTTCTTCAAGTTTTTCAACTATACAAAATTAATCCATAATGTTCTCTCAAGGACTTATTTGAGATCAATTTTGTATCAAAATTTCTACATGAGGGATCATTTTTGGATAAATCTTGTTAAGCCGAGGGATTATATTTGAGAAATGTAATAATCTGGGATTAAATTGGCTGCACACAAATAATCGAGGGACTAATTTTGAAAGTATCATATCCCTGTCTGCTGATATATATATTTTTTATTTTAATTCTGATAGTTTTATATTTATTTTTCATTTTATTTATTCAATCTAATGGATCTTCTTCTGGGTCAATCATTTTGGATTACTGTAGATTTTAATCTTGATATAGGAAGGATTTTGGTACCACCATGCAGAACCGAGTTATTTGATGCTTGTGTACTGGATCCCTGCTAGTAAACATACATTGCCTTTGAATGCTACGCACAGGGTTGGCGTTGGTGCATTTGTGATTAATCAGAAAAGAGAGGTACAATCAAGTGCTTCTGTTAGCTTCAATTTTGTTCTGCCCCCTTTAGCTCTCATTTTAAATCTGAAATATTTTGTTTTCATTTCTGAGCTAGGTATTGGTAGTCCAGGAAAAGAGTGGGAAACTTCGTGGCTCTGGTTATTGGAAAATCCCTACAGGCGTTATTGAACATGTCAAATATGATGACTTGAGTATTCATAGATCATCAAATCACAAAATTAAATTTCTAACATCAGCTAAGTTAATTGTTTTTGCAGGGTGAAGATATATTTGCAGGTGCTGTAAGGGAAGTCAAGGAGGAAACTGGAGTACGTGTGTTTCTGTGAAGTTTAAGCTGTTCTTTTTAAGATTTTTGAATTATCTAACCTTTATTTTTATCCTTGTATTAGATTGATGCTGAATTTCTGGAAGTGCTTACGTTCAGGTTGTTCATTTCAAGTCCTTGAGCGGGCTGGTTTATTTAATTATATTTAAATTAGCCTCCATGCGTGATACCTAAATTTTTTGCCGTTCTCAAACTACTTTACTATGACAATTGGTTGGAGATATTGGAGTTCATATCTAAATCGCTATTATTTTTGTTAGAAGTTATTAGTGCTTATTTCTTTCCTTTCCGGATATTACCTAGTTTAGATTTCCTATTTTTTGTCCTCTTTATTTTATAACTGTTGTATCCTGTACTTATACCTCTTTTGATGTCAATAAAATTATCATGCTGAATTCCAATATGGTATCAGGGCCAAGGGATCTTATCTTACTAGCAGCCAAAATTGTCACTTGCTGGCCCATATCTGCCGGTCCTCCCCTTTTCCTGCAGCCGACGTCCTTTCCTACTGCTAGAAAATTTCCCTGCAGGTCTTCCCGAGCCATGGCTCTTACCAAGAACCGTAGGATCTCCTTTTTTTGTTTATTGGAATCCCTTTCCTGCAGCTTGACCGCCATCTTGCTTGACTGGACCTCTTTTTTTGGGGCTGGAATTTCTTCTTTGCAGTCCTAGTTTATGATATCTTTGCAAGGAATCCTCTCCTTCCATGTCTCGGCATCCCAACCTCTCATTTGGCTCCATCGGAGCCATGGCTGATTCCTCCGTTATCGAGCTTCTGTTTGACATGGTTCTTGAATCCACCGGAGGATTTGCACCTATCTCAATCCCTCCGCAAATCAGAGGACTTGAAAATTACATGAATTTTTTTATTACCACCCATAAACTCAACTGTTCTAATTTCCTCCAATGGTCTCAAGCTGTGTCATTGTTTGTCAAAGTTTGAGGTAAATTCAACTATCTCACAGGTATGATTTGTGAATCTCTGAAGACCAACCCTAGCATTTACAACATGGGAAACGAAGAGCTCCATGGTCATGTAATGGCTGAGCAATTCCGTGGAGTCCTCAAATGACTGTTCGTACATATTTCTTCTATCAGCAAGTGCCATCTGGACTGTCGTTTCTTACATCTACTCAGACGTAGTTAATCCTAGATAACTTTATGAGGTTTCTAAGAAGATCCGCAGGACTTAACAAAGATTGAAGACAATGACCTAATATTACAATGACTTGGCTGCATTATGAATAAAATGTGATCTCTATTATGATTACACTTGAGACTCTTCTGTAGCTCTTTCCATTTTCCAAAAAAATTTGGAAAAAACTTGTGTTCCAATTCCTGGCAGGTCTTAACATGGATCTCGATGAAGTCCGCGGCCGTATACTTGGACATGATCCCCTTTCTTCGACCCGGGCAACATTCATTGAGATTCGCCTCGAAGAAAGTCAGAGACTTATAATGCTCGACAACTCCACTATTTTAGTCGAGTCTTTAGCCTTGGTCTCCAACAGTACTCCATATTCTGCCATGTCGTTGCGAGCTACTCACGCCCCATATGATTTTTATCACAAACCCTTCTATACCCTTGATAAGTGTTGGAAGCTCATGGGAAATCAACAACTAAGACTTTGGCCAAATCTTCTGCGGCTAAAGGTCTCGCTATGACCTCAGACTTTGCAACAGTTCAACGAGAATCAACAGACTCCATCAAGAGTCAGATGAAACACTTGATTAAACTGCTTGGTTTCAGTCAGCTCTCCTCTGGCCCATCAACCTCTCATGTTTACCAAGGTAACATCATTATGACACTCGTTGGTTTTGCTTCTTCTAGCTAATGAATTATTGATTCAAGTGTCACAGACCTCAGGACCGAGGGTTCTCATTTATTCTCGACTTATTCTCCTTGTTGTGGGTGAGATACAATTAAAATTGTCGAAGGCTCCTACAATTCTATTGTGGGTAAATGATCGGTTGTACTTATATCAGGGTTGACTTTGGAATCAGTGTTGCATGTTCTTTGCTTAAGTGCAATCTCTTGTCTGTCAGTAAGTTAAAATGTGATCTTGATTGCATTGCTTATTTTTCCTCTGATGTTTGTGTTTTTCAAGATAATCTTTCAGTGAGGATGATTGAAACTACTAAGTAGGTAGTCAGACACAATTTTTTCCAAGAAAATGACATAGATAACACTGACACCCAGTCTCGTTGTAGTTCTTTCTACTGCATGTCCAATTATGCTTCTACATTATCGTTTCTATCTTCCCAGGTTTTATTATTTAAAGCATTTATACTCAGTTTTTACTAATAAAATTCATCTTCTTTTGAATGTGAAATTTGTCAGTTAGCTAAACATCATTGTGTGTCATATCCACTTCATCCTTACACACCTTCCTCTCCTTCATAGTGATTTATGGGGACCCATTTGAACTGCGAGCTAAAAAATAAAAGGTGATTTTTTACTCTACTTGATGACCACACTCAGATGCCTTGAATTTATATTTTAAAAGATAAATCTGAAACTATGTCTATTTTTAAAAACTTTCACTCATTTATTTTAACGCAACTCAAAACAAATATTCAAGTCCTTCGGATGGACAATGGTCGTGAATATTTTATATCTATATTGAGAGAATTCTTGGTAAAGACATCCTCCATCATAGTTCTTGTGCGGATACATCTCAACAAAACAGGGTAGCCGAGAGGAAAAATAGACATCCTCTTGAAGTTGCTTGTTCAATTGTGTTTCAAACCAATATCTCTATAAAATTTTGGAATGATGCTATTCTCACCGCCAACTACCTCATCAATAGAGTTCTTACAAAAATTCATAAATTCCGGACCCCATTATCTATCTTAATGTCATGTTTTCCTATAAAATGGTCTTTCTCCACATTAAACCATAAAATGTTTAGGTGCTTGTCCTTTGTTTGGAACTATACCGAATTAGTAGTAACCTTGTTCCCTGCTCAATCAAATGTGTATTCCTTGGCTATTTTGCTACTCAAAAAGGCTACTGGTGTATGTGTCCTACCACTAATAAAACTTATGTTAGTGTAGACGTCTCTTTTTTTGAAAATGTCCCCTTCTTACCTAAAAATACCCAACGGGGAGCTTGATTTTTTAGAAACCGTTTCTCTTCTAACTCTGTTAGACATTCCTTCTGCGACCACGGTGTCCAATGCACCTTTAGCACCGATGGATTTACCTCCAACCAGGTCAACATCACCACCACCCTCTATCTGGGTATATACCCGTCGTCCAAAATCTTCTGTTGAAACTTGTCCCAATGCCCTTATCATTGAGCCCAAGGCGCTCCATTGCAGGTCTTGGAATTCACTTCGGTCGACATCCCCGAAAGATGCATTTGCTGCCTACTAGGGTCACTCCTAATTCGAGTGAAGATCTGAATCTTCCTATTGAGATATGCAAATAGATACCATCAAAAACTTAGTATGTTAATGGTGAAATGTCTCATCCCACGACCTTTCTCTAACCTACAAAACATTGGTTACTTCTGTGATGGATATTGATATTTTCGGACAATAAAAATGATCTCGCCCGAAAATAGGGAAAGTTTCATCATCCAACACGAATCTCGAGGTATGACACGAATTCGAGATAATATTTTAAGCAAGAAACATTCAAATCTTGATAAAAAGTCATCCAGAGCTCTGATTTCAGTAAACTTATAGTCAAACTGACCTGTTCAATGAGACGAACTTAATGATATGAAAACTAGCCCAATCAAAGTTAAATCAAGCCCAGATCAAGTCATTAAGCCACAATTAGAAGATTTATGAATACATTTGAAAAGTCAAACGACTGTCAAATATGAAAAGTTTATACTCAAATCGAGCGGCTTGACAAGACGAATCCAACGAGTCCAAGATCACTCAATTCTGACATCATTAAGACACTCAAATGTCTATTAAATGTCATATGATCGAGGGAAGCTCTCGGACCGTTCGATTAAAATTGTTCATATTCCTGCATTAATTGCACAAGAACACTATAAATAGAGCCCCATCCCTCTCATGAGAGGAGGGAAGTCTAGAGAGAGCCTGAGGTCTTAAGGAGAAGCTACAGACCACTGCCGACCTCAGACGACCACCACCGACCTTAGACGACCACAGCCGACCGTCGTCGACCACCGCCGACAACCATCGATCACTACCAACCAGACGTTGTCAGTCAACGTTGTACCTTGAAAAATATAGTTACCCTTTCCCGTTTGTGGGACAAGGCATTTTTGTAATCATCAATCAATAATGGATTTCAGCAACTGGTCCAGACCATGTGATTTTTCTCTTACAGGTTTTCTACGTAAGAACTTCTGGAGTCATCATCGTTTTTTTCTATTTCATCTGTGTGTGTGTTGAACTTTCGTACAACGCTAACATGATAATTTGTTACTCTACTGCTGTGAATTTTTTAGCACGCATCAATTTCTATAAAGGCCACATTATGAGTGTTGTTGTTTTACAGGCAAAGCCATATGTCATTTTTTGAGAAGTCTGATTTGTTCTTCGTGTGCTTGATGAAGCCTCTTTCATTTGACATTCAAAAGGAAGAATCAGAAATTGAAGCAGCTCAGGTAATTTGATTTTCATATATAACCATGCTTAGTACATATGTCATTTATTTTTTATCCTCTTTACCATTTTACCAGTCCTTACTCTATGATTCTTCTTTCATCATGATCTCCGCCATAAAGTGCATCATCAACTAAAGAGTCTTTCAGTATTATTTTGTTTTTATTCTATTTTATTTATATTTTGATTTGAAATAAAATATATTTTATATTTTAAAAATATTTTTCATTTTTATTGAGTATTGAGTAAATTGATTTATGTGGTGATGCTGGTGATCATTGGAGAAGAGACGGCCACAGCGGCTGCCGAGGCAATGCAGCAGTTGCCATATGAAAACTGCAATGAAGTTTTACATATTTTAAAAACGGCTTTCTTTTGATTGCTTGATTGTTAGTTTTTCTTTCACTAAATATGTATTTGTTGAACTCTTAAGGCATTTATCTTTTAGAAAATGAAGAAGTTTTCACCCTTTAAAATAACTAACATAAATTTCTATGAATTTTTAAACCCTTTTGTCCAGTCCCTTTGTCTCCTCTATCCTTCTTTTTTCACCTTATGTTCATAGTTTGCTAGGAAAATAACGAATCAAAGTAATAGAGCTATAAATAAATATCAATGGCATATATAGCATTCTTGAAGGGATGCAAATATAAAATCCACATCCATAATTTCTGGTAGGTGAAAAATCAAATTTTGATGAATTGAAAATAAAAAAATTTAGTAACTAAAGAAAATGCTCATCAAATGTGCTTTACTTCACAAGCAATGTCTTGCTTCTTATGATCAGGTAATGTTGTTTTCTGACCTTTGCACTTTGTTGAACTTAGATTCATGCAAAATAGTATAGAACTTCGCTGTTTTGTAGGCATAGCGGCAGAGGGGAATGACTAATGAGCACAGCAACAATTAAACCCTGAAAAATTATAGAATATGGGAAAATTTACATACATACATACCACACAATTTCTATATATTTATTAATCAAGACCTATATTTTGATATTTATATTCATAATGCTTTGATGTCATAAACTTATAATAAAAATGTAAATTTAATATTTAAAAAGTTAGTTAGTGTTATTTTTGATGTAATATTAATGATTCGAGTGCTATGCATATAAATACATAATTTTTGTACAATAAAAAATGAATATTTCCATTATTTTGCATGATAAAACTTGAAATTTTCCTTAAGTTTTTACATTTTATTTTCTTAAAACTGAAAATTTTCTTGTCATTGTGCAACACAGTGGATGCAGGTTGAAGAATTTGCCTCCCAACCTGTAGTTCACAAGCATGAGCTTCTCAAATACATGGTCGAGGTGGGACTGGCAAGGTTTGAGAAGAACTACAGTGGCTTCTCTCCAGTTTCTATTACATCTGTCTTCTCTAACAAACAGAGCTCTCTCTATCTTAATACTGATTATTTGAACAGTTGCTCTTCCTGATGTGATAATCTTTATTGAGGCTACTTTTACAAATCGGTAATTTGTGTAATTATTTGTAATTAATGCTTCTTGTTTGACTGCGGCGAGACTATCAAGTCATCGAGATCTTGCGCACTTACTCGTGTCATAATGATTGAGGGTGCAGTTTCTCACAGTGAGGTCGCGAGTTCGGATCGTGCATATTATCCTTCCATATGCCTTCTATTTTAGCTCGATATCATATGTATAAGGTTTCTAGATTTCTTATAATTACTATATACACTGCCAAGTTTTCTTCTTAATATATGATTAATCTTCGGTAATTTCTAAAAGTTTTTTTTTTTTTTATGAATTTTGTAACGAAATTTATAATCTTTTATCTTTTATATTGATTGATTTAGCTAAGGAATGTATTCTTAACTACTATTTTATGTGATTTATGTTTCAAACTACTCTTGAGACAGCCATAAATTTTATGAGACAAGATTTTCTAGATTAAATTTATGTATATTTGTTTTGTTATTTAATGTTTCCATTAACTACACGATAATCTTGTTTATTAAATTATATGCTCAACGTTGTCAGATTATTGTAGTCTTTGTCATCATATTTATTTGTAATGTCATATCCAACCTAAATCTTTGCATTCTTACTCAAAAAAAATTGTCCATCTATATTGTTCCACTAATTATCTTCATATGTATTGATACGTGGGCAGACTGTTGAGCTCACTCTGGCTTAGTTGCACCACTCCACTCCGAGTTGAGGTGCAAGTCATCCGATAAGTAAGCTATTGCAGCGAGCGGCTGGAGTGGTAGGGAGCCAAAGAGCAAGACATTATATATAAGATGGCAAGGCTAGGTGTTGAGAAAAAAGGGTACATAATCACAAGAATTAAGAATAGTGGACCAGGGATTTAACGAGGTTTGGCAATATGCTTACATCCTTGGAGGGTGATGAGTGCCGGTTTTCTTTTAATTTCTTTAAGTAGTTAATCCTCTTAAGATTACAAATATATATATATATATATATATATATAATAACCATTGTTGCAATTATAAAATTACTCTGTATCTTATCGTGAGGGCGTTGTTCGTGTGCCCCCACTTAATGAAATTCTCTTAATTGGACAGATGTTTCAACTCACAAACTCTGCTCAGTTTTAGCATCTCTTATCTGGTATATGAGCCATACCTAACACTAGGCTCTCGATCGAGTAGAGGAGACAATTAGGATAACAAACTCAAAATGTGAAGCTCTATTTTAGCCTAGTGATTGAGAACTTTGACTTGTAAATGTGGTGTGCGTATATTTGCGATTCAATTGCTCAAACTTCCAACCAAAAAAAAAAACAAAAAAAAAAAACAAACCAAAGTGAGGCCCCTAAGCGACGCGGGGGTTTACTTGTCGCAGCCCACCCAGTGTTAGAAGGGTTAGGGAGAACAGGGCCACCCTACCATCTGACCGGTTCCAGGCTACAGTGTCACCTTTCCTTTTCAGAGTGTATATATATATACATATATATATACATATATATTATCATTCTTTTCAACTAGCCGTTTGCTAATATTCCAAGTATTTCTATTGTTTCCTTTTTGGAGCATTTACATAACTACCAAGTAATTCTTATGTATTTACATATCTAAAATCTAAAAATTTATATTACATGCATGCCACTCAAATCATTAACATCACATCGCACAAAGATCTTTGTCATACTGATAATTAACACAAATATATAAATATTATTACCCACCTCCCAAAAGAGCTCTTCAAATTGATGGGCAGCCCAGGACTTAAATACTATTTTTCGATCTTACACATATCCGATGTGGGCCTTTTTGTCCGTGACATCAAAATTTATTACATGAAAAAATAGCGAAAAAATCCTCATCCCCTCTATCATATAATAATGCAATTAAATAGCACAAATTTTCATTTCATGTCAAACTTCACTCTACAAACTCTAAATTACACAAAACTTCACCTAATAATACAAACAAACTGAAGAAGCAAGAAATAAAAAATAAAAAAACACTCACCCTCATATATATATTATCATTCTTTTCAACTAGCCGTTTGCTAATATTCCAAGTATTTCTATTGTTACCTTTTTGGAGCATTTACATAACTACCAAGTAATTCTCATGTATTTACATTTCTAAAATCTAAAAATTTATAATACATGCATACCACTCAAATCATTAACATCACATCGCACAAAGATTTTTGTCATACTGATAATTAACACAAATATATAAATATTATTACCCACCTCCCAAAAGAGCTCATGGGCAGCCCAGGATTTAAATACTGCTTTTCGGTCTTACACCTATCCGATGTGGGCCTTTTTGTCCGTGACATCAAAATTTATTACATGAAAAAATAGCGAAAAAATCCTCATCCCCTCTATCATATAATAATGCAATTAAATAGCACAAATTTTCATTTCATGTCAAACTTCACTCTACAAACTCTAAATTACACAAAACTTCACCTAATAATACAAACAAACTGAAGAAGCAAGAAATAAAAAATAAAAAAACACTCACCCTCATCACCTCTATCACACACATTCTTTTTTTATATTAGAATATAATAAATTTATTTTCCTTATATATATTTTTAATTTTGCATGCCACATATTATCTTTTAATATAATTAAATTATCAGATAAATATATCAAATTATTAGACATTTATAACTATAATTTTATTAAAAAAATTATAAATGTCCAATAATTTAATCATACTTAATGATAATATGCGACATATAAAATTAAAATATATATAATAAAAACAATCAAATTCTAATATAAATTACATTAAGGCATGATGACACATTCTTTTTTTATTTTTTTTTTAATTTCTCTCTTATTTTTCCAAATCAAAATTACCCAAAATAAAAAATAAAATAAAAATTACATACATAGCACCCAAATGTTATGCATTTACTTATCTCACATTTAAACGTTGATTTTCACATCCTTAGCACTCTAATTTATGCATGAAAAGGTGAATTACACTATTAGTTGCATACATAGGAAGATATGTAAAAATAAAAGTTTAGGGGGGTAGATTAGTAATTATATAAAAATTGGGTGCTATGTCTGTAAATTCCCCCCACCCAGCTCAAAAAAAAAAAAGAAAAAAAAAGAAAAAAGCCTAAACAAAAGCAAAAGCAAAAAACGCAGCCACGGCAGCAACACCGGCAAGATTACCTGCAGCAGCAGCTCTATTATTATCCCCCGCTTTCTGATCCGCCGCCTTGTCGCCGGGGCTTTGCGCCTCAGGCGATCCGTTCGACTGCTTTTTTCCGGCAGGTTTCGGTGAATCCGCCACCACCTGCGGTGCCGGCGCCGGCACCGGCACCTCCGCCGGCTTAAATATCTCTGTCGGCTCGAGCACCTCATCAATGGCGTATAACGCCACGGGATCCTTATCAAAAAGCGTACCGGTGATATTGGCCTTCGTGACCTTCGTCTGCAGCGTAACGACATCGCCATCGTTCTGTATGGTGAAGTTGTAGTTCTTGGTGGTGCCGTCGGTGGCGAGGGTGTTAACGACGCCATTGTTGGATTTGAGCATCTGGATCGAGTAGTAGATGGGGATCGCGTGGTATAGAAGAAGGGAGATCTTCTGGTCGGCGGTTAGGTTTTTGAATAAGGGGAGAAAGGGCTTCAGGACGGGATCGGTGGGGCAAAAGGCGGTGAGGCCGCTGCCGATGTTAGAGGCGAAGGAATCGGCGGCATCTGCGGTGGAATGGAGGAGATCGGCGAATGATTTGCAGCCATTTTTGGACATGAGGTCGGTGATGTTGATGTCGTCAGTGGTGAGTGGTTGGGGTGCCGGGGAGGACTGGGGGAGGCTGGTGGGAATCAGGGAGAGGAGGAGCAGGAAGAGGAGGATAGATGGCCGGAGGAATGGCTGCATTTTCGCCGGCGGGAAGGGAGGAGTGATGTGATGATGGTGCTGCGCGAAATGGGAAGTGAGAGTACTGTAGATTGGGAGTAGAGAAAATGACCTGACTCTTTATATAAAATCGTGGCTGTAAGTTGTGACATTAAAAAAAGTAAATAATGAAAAGAAAGATTTTCATAAACATCACTTGATATTTATGTATTTACATATTAAATATGTCATTTGTATTTTACATTTGAAATGGTAATATTTTTGAATTGGTTTCATATTGAAATTGGCTCGTGACTTGTTATATTCGATTTCGAGATTGAATCGAGCTCGATACGACTTGAAAGCAAACAAGTTGGCACAAATTTGAGTTAATAGAATCCGTTCCATCTCAAAATTGGCTCAATCCAACTCGTAATCAAAACAAGATGACTCAAACTCAATTAATTTGGAAATCAGCTCGTAGCTCGTTATATTCGATTTTATTTAGTATTATTGATGCTTGCTAGAAAAGTTGTGATGTTAGAGTAAAGAATTATCGTCTTAATATTGCAGAAGAATTCAACACACACTCAGACAAAATGAAACAACAAGTAGAAATACAAATATTTTTTATGTGGAAAACCCAGAAAGGGAAAAACCATGGTGCCTAACCAAGTTGAAGAGTTTCACTATAGAAAGATGATTACAGTTGCAACCACTTGTCCCACATGTGGGAAAAAATTACAAGTTTTCCCAAGTTACAATGTCGGTGTGCTGAAGAAATTGCTGTTAGGAATGAACGGCGTTCGATAGCAAATGACAATGTATGGTCGGTGGTGATTGAGGTATTCGACGATGGTTGACGGATATTGATAGTGATCGACAGTGTTCGGTGGTGGTTGGCGGAGATTAGCAGTGATTGTCGACGGTCGGCGATGATCGATGAAGGTCGGTGTTGTTCGATGATGGTTGACGGTGTTCGACGACGATTAATGACAATCAGCGGTGGTGGTGTTGGGCTTTAGTTCCTTCTCAAAGCTTTAAGGTTTTCCTCGAATCTCAATCTCTCCTCTCTCCTATTGAGAGGTGGGGCTTTATTTATAGAGTTACATGTACAATAAATGCCAGAATATGAACAACTTTGATCTTGACGGTCCGGAGAGCTTCCTCTGATTAGATGACATTTGATGGACATGTGAGTGTCTTAACGACGTCGAATTGAGAGATCTTGGGCTCGTTGGATTCGTATTGTCAAGACACTCAACTCGACCATAAGTTTACCAGATTTGACATCTATTTGACATTTTAAATATGCTTGGAAAACTTTCAAAAGTGGTTTAATGACTTGAATTCAATTTGATTTAGCTCTTATTAGACTGATTTTGATACATTTGGGCTCGTCTCGTCAAGCTTGTCATTTTGACTATAAGTTTGTTAAAATCTGAACTCTGGATGACTTTTGATTAAATTTTTAATATTTATTGCTCAAAAGATTGTCTCGAGATTCAAACTAAATCAATTAAATATAATTTTTATAAATAAAAAATAATTTAAGATGATCTTGAGCCAGAGTTGATCTGTGCTCAACACAAAAATCAGCTTAAAAAAAATGATCCAAAGTCTAGGCTCATGTCTAACTCAACTCGTTTATATCGATCCAAGCTAAACGTTATACGGTATACGGTAATTGTTCACATATGCGTAATACACCTCAACTACCATGAAATTACATAACTGACCTTTTATAAATATTACCTTTTATTGCTCTGCTACCGTAAAAGAAAGTCTTTAATAATTTCAAATAAATACCAATAAATCTATTTCTAGGAAATGCTCACACTGAAAGCTCTACATCGTTTGGATCTAAATCAAATTTTATGTTTCGAAATCTATATGTATCAAATTTATACAAGTTTTAATGTAAATGTTACTCTTTTTAATTATAAATTTAATAATGAATATATATAATTGAAAAATGTGGCATCTAGATACAACCACCTAAGTCTTATGTATAACATCTAAATTTCCTTAAAAAATATTTATATTACCAAAATCATTCATATCACATATGAAAATATTATTATTTTAACTCTTAAAAAGTGAATATATTAGGTAATTGGTCATATATATATATATTTCAAAAATGTTGACTGCTGGTCAATTCCAAAGTCTGACCAATGGGCAGACCCCCTTACAGACATGTGTGCAATTCGATCCTACGCGGGGATCGAATCCCTGACCCAAAGGACTTATACCAAAGACCGCAATCAATGAGTCAGATGAAGACATGAGTTATGCATGAATATGTAATTCACTTAAAAAAAAAAGATAAAATTTTGATATTTTTTATGTAATGAAATTTTGAAAGGTATAAATGTATACAAATAAAATTCGAGTGTCAAAGTAATAGATTTATAGATAAATTGGGTGATATGTGTGTAAATGTGAATTTAGTTTAGCATTAAAAAAAAATTAAAAGCGACAAAAATCAGAGTTTGGGCCCCCAGGCCACGTGCTCTCAAGCCAACTTACACGTGCAAGGCTGCATATTGCACCAAACTCAAGGGCAACCCACAGGCTCTATCTGTTGCCACGTGTTTGGTGATCCGTTGACTACGCTTTAAGCGGATTGCGTCCACCGACTCGCTTGGATCGGCTGAATCATAATTAACACATTGCTGCATTTATGACCAACAATATTCTTACAGCTGTTCTTTTAAAAAAAATTACTCTCACTAGGCTGATCTAGTATGGTTGAGATAAATGTTCGCTGTTTTGTAAAAAGATTGAGTTGGTATTTATAAGGGGTGTTCTTTATTGCCAGCGGTGATGTTTGTCAGGTGTGCGTAAATCATTGGCAAATCGGGACCCTGCATTTATTAATCTACGGTTCGTTGCGTTGGGCAGATTTAATTAAGATGATTTCCAAGAAAAAATAATTATAGTGATAAGTGAATGTGAAAAAAAAAAAATTACCTCGATAATACAATTAATATTCCCTCATGTTATTCAGGTGTTATTATGTATTATTCAAGTGTTATTGATGCGTTATTGTGTTATTATAATACCATGAATATTCTCAAAACACAATAACATACAATATCACCTGAATAACACGGGGAAATATTCTCCGGTGTTACCTGTGTTGCCGAGAATATTTTCCTGTGCCGTGATTTCATTAAACTCCGCACGTAACTCTACATGCGGAGTCCTGATATAATATTTTTTCGATTTACAAATATACTATTAAATTCCTAAGTGTTTTTATATCTAATATCTGAATTTTAATTTTTACAAGCATATCATAATTAATGCATGAAATCTATATTTCATTTTATTAAAAATTAAAAATAATAACATTTTTAATATGATATAAATGTAAAAAATAAAATTTAAGTGTCCATTTATAAATACATAAGAATTAAACAATACATATGTAAATGCCCTTATATTTATTTATTTATTCAAGATTTATTAATTTAGACTTCTATCATCCATTGTACAATAAATATTTTCAAAAAAAATATTAATAATTAAAGTTATAAATATAATAAAAATATTATATTATTTATTAATATTAATTTAAATTATTTGCAAATGTGGATTCATATATTATATTGTTAACATATTACAAAAATATAATAAAGATTAAAAAAAATAATCCCCCATGCAAGTGGATGAGGTTGTTGAAGTGGAATCTACAATGCCTAAAAAAATAATAAAAGAACCTTTTATCAAATATTGTAATCTTTTCATATATATATAGCACGATAGTAATATTACATTTTTGCCTCTATTCGGATGAGATTTTCGCTGAGTATCTTAGATATTTTATATATCATGAGTCATCATTTGGTCTTTTTCTGGCTCGATCATCTCAGTTTAGACTTGGTTGGAGCCTCTGTTGGATGTTGAAGATGCCTTATGGGATCAACCTCTCCATCGAGTTGATTCTCCCGTGACATAAGGTTTCGTATCGAGTTGGTTTTATTTTGGTTGAAGACATGGACGCTTTCTTGGTAAGCTTTTGGGTGAGCTACTTAGATGATATCAGTTGCTTATCCTCTCATCATTTTTTTGCTCAGTTGGCTTGGCTTAATCGGCTTGATGGATCTGGAGATCTCTTTGCAGGGGATCTTCCTATATTATACTTCCTTGTTCTGGACCGTTGGATCCCTATGACATCTGAAACCTTTTTGACGTACACATACATACCACTCAATTCCTATGCACTTAAATATCTAACACCTAAACTTAATTCAATTTTTACACATGCCACTTTAACTATGCATGAAAATGTATTTTTTTTAAGCATTTGGAGTCCAGCATATATTGAAGAAGGAAGATTTACATAAATACAACTCAATTCCTATGTATTTGCATATCTAATGCTTGGGCTTCAATTTTTACATACATGCCACCTTACCATTGTATGGAAAGGCGTATTTCACATTTTAGAAGCCAAAATAGTGACATTATTTTATGTGATATAAGACATTGGGACGGTATGAATGTAAAAAGAAATGTTTAGGTGTTAGATATGTAAATACGTAGAAATTGAAAATTGGATTACCTGATTGAAAGATCTCTATTTACAGCTGCAAAACTGAAAATCATCAGCAATATCAAAAAACACGCTAAATTCACCACTAATATTTATTATTAGCTACCAATTTATAAAAAATTGGCTCCCATATCAATTTGACAGTGTAAGAAATCATAAAAATAAATTAGGGCATTTACATTCATATTGTTGAGTATTGTGGAGCCTGGACCATGATTCGATTTGACAGTTTCGACATCTATGGAAGTTAATTAAATTGCATTTAATTCCTTCATTCTTCTGTTCTCCCGCCTTCCTCGTGTTGGTGGATTAAGGAAAGCAATAATTATGATTGCTTAAGATTGCTTTCTCATATCTCCTCTAATCCCCCCATTGCTCTTCTGGATTACTAATTTAAAGACTTTCCTTAATGGGCCTTGAATTGAAAGGTTTTAAAAGGGCTTTGGCTCGAAGATGAAAGGGTATGTGATTTAAGTTACGGAAGAAATACTATCGCATAGTGGCTTCCTCCATCAAATCTCCTTTTTGTGTTTTCTTCTTCTGTGTTTCGCTGTGTTTCTGGTTTATGAATTTCTCA